GAAATAAAAGCTACAAATTGGTATAAGATAGTTATTATTAATAATAATTATTCAGAGAGTTACATAGCATTTACGATTAAATTTAATAAATATAAAAATAAAAATACTTTAGTTATCACTATGTAAACTTTTAATTCTTACTAAATACCATAAATTGTGCTTATAAATAAAGTTATAGCTTATATTTAGAGCTACAAATTGGTATATGATACTATATGCTGATCTTTAATCAAACTTGAACCAGATTCAAACTTGTATAATAATTCAATTCGAGTTCAGTTTGAACTTTGAACCTTTCTTGAACTCAAGCCAAAGCCTGATTCGAGTTCGGTTCATAGAAACACTAATTAGTATTACTTGGTATTTATACAAGTATTATTAGCATTAATACAAGTATTATTAATATTAATATAAGTATTAATACAAATAAAAAACCAATAATAAAGTACTAATTATCTAATTGAATTAAAATATGAATTAATTAATAAAATATTTATATTATAATACTATATAAAATAAAATTATTATATAATTATTGTTTTTTCTTTAATTAAATATTATTATAAATTAAATAAAATAATAATATTTTCTAGTAAAATAATTAAGTTAAAACTCTTTATAGTTATATTTCATTATAATTATCTAATTTAAGAATTATTTAATTTTACTTTTTTGAGAATAATAATTATAAAAAAATCCAATTTTATATAATTTGCTTGGTTTTTATTAATAATTCCAATATATATTTGAAATTATAATTATTAAAAATTAATAATTTTTATAATAAACAAATAAAATTATAAATAAAATTTAGTAAAAATAATAATTATAATTACAAAAAATAATAATTATAAATACAAAAAATATTAATTGTTAATAATACAATGGCTAACAGAATTATGGAATCATGTGTGCAATTTTATTAATAAAACATAATAAAATTTGTAATTTTTATCTTATATAAATAAATATTTTTTATTTTTATATCAAAACAAAGATTATAAATTATAGTTTAATATATATTTTTTCTGGATTTTCTAGATTTTTTTCTGACAAAGTTGTTCTAATTACAAAGTTATTGCAAAAATTTTTTATAATTAAAATGTAAAATTAATTATAAAAATTTTTGTAATAACTTTGCAATTAGAACAACTTTGTCAGAAAAAAGTCTAGAAAATCCAAAAAAATATATGTTAAACTATAACTTATAATCTTTGTTTTGATATAAAAATAAAAAATATTTATTAATAAAATTAAAAACTTTTATATAAAATAAAAATTTCAATTTTACTATGCTTTATTAATAAAATTGCACACACAATTCCATAATTCTGTTAGCCACTGTATATGAAACATTTATTATTGGAAATATATTTCAATATTATAGTTCTAGCTTGTCTCTAAAGTAATTTCAAATGCATTTTTTTGAATTTACAAGTTCAAGTGTATTTTCAGAATCACAAAAATTATGATCAATTTACAAAGTTTCATGAAATTATTAAAAATACTTGCCTCACGTATGTTTTCACAATCGGAAATAGATACATTTTAAGATTAAGATTATAATATTTGTCGTAGTTTATTACTATTATTAATAGCATTTGCTGCTGCACTCACTCTTAATACACATATAAATCATACAGATAAAGAATTATCATTTTAGAAAAGTAACAATTTGTATAATAGGAATGGAAGATAAAAGGTATTCGAGAGTGTGTATGCTTATATGAATATGGCATTGTGTAGAGTCGTGTACGAATAATAGACATGTATAAAAAGAAAGTGGTAAACACGACCTGATAAATATACGTACTCAGCAACAATACTAAAATACCCATAAGCCACGCGCACAGAGAGACACCCCAAAAAAATACGTAGTAGAAATGATAAATAAGAAAGGAATGGAAAATAATAATGAGTGTATTGCGTGGCACTATGTTGTTAATTGACTTGATGAATACACTATCTATCAATGACAAAAAGAGAGATTATGTGTGTTATCGATATTGAAGTGTGCAAGTACATAAGAAAGGATAATAATAAAAATCATATAAAACATTGTGCTTGCAACGTAAAATGAATGATGGGCAATCAAGCCCTTTTTTTGTCTCCATGAAGACGCGAAGAAAGGAATAAATTGAGATGAAGATAGAAAAGAGAATTAATTTTTCACTATAAAAGAAGTATGATAAACTCACTTCTTGCTACATTAAACCAATGTCCGATCTATATTAATAATACTAGTATACTATATTAATCGAATTAGATAATTTATATCATGGGAATAAAAAGAAATGGAGTAAAAAATGAACAAATGTATTGTTACAAATAAAAATCCATTCAGTTATTTCTTGTAATAGTTTTGTTTTTGATTAGTTGGAAGTGTTGTACAATAGACGTCACAATTTAGATATTGTAATATACATAGATTAGCGACCGGATATTTTTGATATTGCAAATACTCCAACAATAGCAGCTGCCAATGTTACAACAGCTGCTGGTAATAGCCAGTCATTTAGTGGATTATTATTTCCGACAATTTCACGATCTAAGTGTCTGCTTCGTCTCTTTTTCTTTTTTCCTATAAGATCCGAGGCTGTTTCGTCTTCTTCTTGTGATACACGAGAAGCCCTAGATTTCGAAGCTGGTTTCTTTTCGTCGATTTCCTGTACAAGTAAAAGCACACGCGAAAGTCCTTGTCGTTGTGCAATTCGAACAGCATCAACGACATCGTCATCACTTGACATTAACACATGATCGTTGTCGTCATCCACGTATGCTAAAGAGAATGCTTTTATGGTCTTCGGGAGTTGAGAAGCGACACGATGTCTAATCATGTCGAGGTTTGTATAGTCCATTGTGAATCGGTGCGTTTTCCCACTTGGCGATTTGAATTTAAATGTGAAGAAATTTTCGTCATGGCCACGAGGGAAGGATGCTAATGAGCCATTATCATCGATTGCTGATGCTGATTCACTGGGATGTATTTCGGGGATTGGTGAAATGTGTCCAGAACCTCGCATGTGCGAGTTCGGTGAGGGTGGGGGAACATTTGAAGCACTTTGTGATGGTGATATTGAATCAGAAACTATGGATTCATTGTCACCATCGTTGGCAAATGAATTCCAGAAGCGACCCCACATGGGACCACCTCCAGATTCATGACTATCTTGAGCTTGGGTTGAATTCATCTAATAGGGAAAGAGAAAATAGAATCAATTTATGCATGCTTAAAAATAATACGAATTAGTTAATAAATTTAAGGTATTTACCTGTTCCATGGTTGCATATGTAAGTCTCAATACATCAATCATCCCTGAAATATGGCCATCATCGACAACCGGGAGATTTAGATAATGACCATCTATTCATGATTTAAGAATATAGATAGAAGAAAATGAGTGATGAATAAGCGAAAGGTAAATGCAAGGAATGAATTAAATAAAATGATATTAGACTAAAGCTTTTGAACTATTTTTAAATGTCGATTCAAAATCAGTTCAAGAGATGAAGCGAAAAGAGTTGTTTATTATTCAATCTTGATAGGTTCAGAATATCCTTTCTTCTTCTCCTTCTGGATATCAAGCATTGTATAATAAATAATCCTTCGAAATGAAATCAAAGGAATCCAATCTTGACATTGATCAGGAGGGAAATCGATTATAACCAATTCATAAGATGTAAAATTAATATTTACCATACATCTTCTTCAAAGCATCAAGAATACTAGTATGTGAAGGTGCAGTATCCGGGTGAGGTGTCATGACTCTGGCTACACTACATGTGGCAGGGTCAAGGCCAGCGGCAATAACTCTCAATACAATATCCTTGCTCGTGAAGATACCGGCAATCATACCATGTTCCATAACAAGAACAGCTGTGGTACGATATTGTCGCATTAAACGGGCAGCGTCACGAACCGTTGTGCGAACACCAACTTCCACATGTCGAGTACGCTCGTCCAATAGCGTGGCTAAAGTGGGACATGACATTTTATCACGTAACATACCAAGATAATGTACAAGGTGTGTGGGTTGGTTGGACCATTCTTTTTCGACTCCTTCTAATGCATCATATAGTTTCTTTGATGAGCCATAGGCACGTTCCATTTTATCGAGTGCTTCATACAAGCATTTGGTGATATCGAGTAGACCAACAACGTCACCATCTTCATTACAAATGGGCTATAATTAAAAGTAAAAGTATTTAATAAAAAATTAAATAAATTTAAAACGGAGATGACAAATGATGACTCACAAGATGCCTGAAGCCACGATCAACCATTGTTTCGAGAGCAAAGGTAGCTGATGTGTCAAGTTTAACACATTTAGGTTCATGAGTCATGATCTTGGCAACTGTGGTATTTCTAGCGTCTAAACCTTCACCCACAACACGAAATGCTAAATCTTTTGCCGTGAAAATTCCCGATAAATGTTCTTCATGATCAATAACCAACACACAATCAGCACGTTTTGCCGCCATGAATTGTGCTGCTTCTTCTACCAAAAAATTTTCCCGAACAGTTAGTGCTTGGGTTGGTCGTAAAGAAGCCACAGTTCCATCTTGTTTTTGGTTTTGTGCATTTTGACGTTTTTTTGCGCCACTATTAGCCCGACTTTTCTTTTTCGAGGTAAGTTCTTGTTCGACCTTTTTTCTAATAGCCTATTTTATTGTTATTAAAGTTACAAATGCAAAAACATGCTTAATATAGTCCATTTAAATGGCGAACAGCATAAGGGTGCTTGGAATGTTAGTAAGAAAATACCTCATCCTTCTTTTTGGTATGTTTCTTACGTGTTGTATCACTCACAATCGAACCAACTTCAGAAGAGCTGTCACGGCTTTGTGCAGGGGTTGGAAATCCGCTGCCTGGAGGTGATGATTTTTTTGTTCGATAAGTTGCAGCGGACATTCTGACAGAGAAAAAAAATTAAAGTAGGAAAAAGATAAGATGAAACAATATCAGTAATTTGTGGACACCAAATATATTTATTTGTATGACTTTTTTTTCTTTCGACACTTGACACTATGGAAAGGTGCATAGCTCATAATTGAAAAGTGGTGAGTCATTTATGATCTGATTGGTTCGGCATTCCGGGAGTTGACACAATATCTATCTATGATGACATTCAATCTTGATTTTTTTTCCCTTAATGTATTTCGTCATCACTCACATTTTCTTTTTAGTCACTTTCTTGATTAGAGCTGGACTTCCCATTGAAAATTAGAAATAATCTGGTAATAATATAAAATGTTAAAATATATCATAATGGTAAATGATAAGGATAAGGATAATGCTAAGAGAAATGAAAAAAAACCTTTATGACAATGATTGATTGGTAAAGGTGGACAAGGCAAATTGGTAAAGACAATAATTAATTGATAAAGTGGTGGACGAGACAAGTTAAAATATCTGTATATATATACTTATACATGTATATGATATGCTTCTATTTAACGTTAATAATTTATCATAATAATAAGGAAAATTGGCGTACTGATTACGGCGTATTATTTTTCGCATATACATGTACAATTACATGTGCACATTTTTTATGTGCAGTTTGTCGCCATAATCGGAAGAATTAGGCGATAATTACAGGCCACGTGTTGTAGATTTTTCGATTATTTGCTAAAGTAAAGATAGTCATATGAAAATATACTATACTTCAGGATGGACAATATCGATATTACTCATAATAATATAGAAAACGAACAAAAAATTCTGTTAAAGAACATACTGGAGTACTTAGTAAAACTGAAAAAATATGGACAACCTGATGCACAAGTAAAAGAACAATTGTTAAAATATATTAAAGAACATCTTAATTTAGACATAGCGACCGTCTTCAAATTAGCAGACGGATACAAGCAACAAGACAACTGTCCACCCGAACACTCTTATCTACTCGGATACCTCAACAATTATGGTCTTGGCACATTTATCGATACGACACTTGCATTCAAGCTATATGAGAAAACAGCGTTAGCCGGTGTACCATACGGTCAAGCACGTCTTGGATATTGCTACGACAAGCGTATCGGAACACTCCAAAACTTCAATGAAGCATTCTGCTGGTACAAACTAGCCGCTGAGCAAAATAACTTGGCCGCACAATGCCTTCTTGCGTCTTATTACGGAAACGGCTATGGTACCAATAAAGATCTCGAAAAATCAGTCTACTGGTATACGAGAGCCGCCGAAGCTGGACAGCCGAATGCACAATACGCCCTCGCAAGACGATACATGCAAGGTGTGGGAGTGGAAAGAAACCAGCGACGTGGATTTCTCTGGTTCAAAATTTACTCGATCACACATCAGCTCGGTAATGCGTATTCGTATTTTGACTATGCGAAATGTTTCAAAGACGGTTTGGGCACGATGAAGGATGTACATGAGTGTTTAAGAGTATATCGGCGTGCGTTTTTAGCTAATGAAAAAGAACGTGTTATGGATCATTGTAGTCGGTTATTTAAGATTGGTAAGGAATAATAACTGATTGAGATGGAACATTCAACTTGAGAAGTTTTAATCTCTCTTATTTCTGCTATGACGTAGACACGTGGTCCGGGATGTATCGGTGATACACGGGAGCAAATCGGTAAAAAATGATGGTTTTTTACTCACCCTCGAATTCCCATTTCGCAATTCTTGTATTATATTCTTTGTATGAGATATTTTTCATTGCATAACATTCATCCTTTCTATAATTTGCTATACATATGTTGAGCAATGAACATAAACAGCGAAAATGAAAATAGCATTAAATTCAATTGGAGTGGAAGTAAATTCAAGCTGGCAATTAGATTTTGAATTGAATAATTAAAACTATGAAATGTGTTAGCTTATAAATTTAACAACAATGTACTCTAAATTAATTTGACAAGAATTCAAATAATCACTTAGTTCGTATTCAAGTTTACAAAATACAGTCAAACCTCCTAAGTGCAACCCCTCTAAGTGCAATTATTCTCTAAATGCACGTTCTAATTTGCTTATGAGACATAATTTTTATCTCCATAAATGCAATACCGCTCTAAGTGCAAGTTTTTGTATGGTCCCGACGAGTTGCACTTAGGGAAGTCTGACTTTATCTTGATACTCGAAAGTTTTTTTTTGACCTCCAGTTATCCTATTATTGGAATTTTAACGAATAATCTGAAAAATTCAAGCCGTTTTTGATTAGCATCACGACCTCCAATAACGATGCCAACTGTTCAGTATTAGACTAGTAAAGTTATTGTATAATTTCGTTTGCATGGCCAGACGGTTTGCAAAGTATATAATTTCAGCAAATTTGTTAAATAAATCGATCTCAGAAAATTACTATCGCTATCATTGACTCCTTATAATTTGTCTAATTAACATGTATTTTAATAGTCAAATTTCTATAATTATCTTTCAAATTGGATGATTACAGAGAGATAAAAGTATTTTTTATTTATACTTAATAACAGGTATAATTAAAAAGATTTGACTTGTATTTATATATTAAATTTATCTGATATAAATTGCATAAAAACTTAACTTAATTAGCTATATATCTATATTTTTTTAAAAAAACAATACAATATACATAATTAATCTTATTTAGAATTCTGAAGTTCAATTTAAAATTAATTGTATATAAGTATAATTATAATTATAATGAAAAGATTATACTTATTAATCTTTTATTTAATATTTGCATATTTAAAAGAATAAATAAACTTTTAATAACCAAATTTTAATTGGATAATTAGGATCTAAGTTAGAATTAGTATTAAGCTTCTGAATACAGTCAGATCTTTCTAAGTACAATCTTTCTAAATGCAATTATTCTCTAAATGCACATTCTAATTTGGTTATATATATATATTATTTTTATAAATGCAATATCACTCTAAGTGCAAGTTTTTGTATAATCCTGATGAGTTGTACTTAGAAAGATTTGACTGTATGTGATTATTAAAGTTATTATATGTAATAGTTATTATAATTAGATTAATTCTATTTAAAATATATAACAAAAGTATTATAAAATTTTTACATGAATTCTAAAAACTAAAAAAGAATGAATATTAAATTTTTGTTTTTATGTATAATCAGATTTTTTTAAGTGTAATTATTCTTTAAATGCACATTTTAATTTAGTTATATATATTTATTTATTTATTTTTATAAATATAATATTATTATAAATATAAGCTTTTATATAATTTTGACAATTTATATTTAAAGAAATTTAATTATATAAAAAATACAAATTAATATTTTTTTAAAATAATAAAATTATAATATAATTACAATATAAATTAATTTTTATATTATAAAAAAAATTTCATATAAATATATTGTAAAATTTAATATATTTAAGCTTAGAATAAGTTTTTTTTTGACAAAAATTCTTATTATTTATAATATATATATTTTATATTTATAAAAAATTAATAAGTAAATTTTATTTTATAATCATGAAAATATGATTATATAATTTTTTGAACAAATTTAAAAACAAAAATACATATTAAAAATTGCTTTTATACAGTAATAATCAAAAAGAATGGAATGCTAAAACAAATTTATTAATAAAATATAGTAAAAATATGAAAAATGTGAGTTTTTATCTTTATATAAAAGTTTTTAATTTTACTAATAAATATTTTTTATTTTTATATTAAAATAAAGATAATATTACATATTTTAACATATATTTTTTTCAGATTTTTAAGATTTAATCTGATAAAGCTATTCTAATTGCATATAAAGTCAATTATTTTTTATATGTTTTTATTATTAAAAAATAATTGACTTTATATACAATTAGAATAACTTTATCAGATTAAATCTAATAAAATCCAAAAAAATATATAGTAAAATATATAATATTATCTTTATTTTAATATAAAAATAAAAAATATTTATTAGTAAAATTGAAAACTTTAATATAAAGAGAAAAACTCGTATTTTTCATATTTTTACTATGTTTTATTAATAAATTTATTTTAGCATTCCATTCTTTTTGATTGTTACTATATTTAAATAAATAATATTAATTAATTAATATATATTTTTTATTTTAAGATTATTTAGTAATAATTAAAAATGATATTTTAACTAGTTATAACTTGTAATAATTAATTAGAGAATTATAATAGAGTTATAGTAATCAATTAGAGAATTTTAATATAGTTATAACTAATTATAGTTTTTATTACTAGTAATAATATTAAGTTGTTTATATAAATTAAATCCAAATTGAGTTTAAAATCAGATTTTAATCAGTTTATTTCAAGAAATCAAGAATCTAATTCTTTTTATTTTTAAAGTTAGGACTTAGTTCAAAGAACTAATTTATAACCTGAATTCATGTACAAAAATATAAAATATCTGATTAAGTTTCTAATTAATATTAATTAATATTAATTACTTTTAATATTAATATCATTATTAGATTTATTAAACTTTATATTGATAATAATTTCATAATTATTATTAATATTAATATTTTTGTTGAATAACAAAATATAAAATTATTATTATTTATATATTTTTATATATTTTTATAAGTAAAAAATATAATTTTTTAATTATATACATTTACATATATAATTTATATATTATTATTATCATTATTAATTAATTTTGTCTTTAAAATTAATTATATTTTAAATTTAATTAATTTTCAAATATTAATTAATTTTATTAAATTAATTAATTCTTGGAATTAATTTTAAATTAATAAATTTTAAAAAATTAATTTTTATTTCTATTTATAGCAAACTCACATATATCTCTTAATATAAAATTACAATTTGAGAATTCAGTTTGGGATTATAATTCTGAATTCAGTCCTTGAACTAAATTTGATACTAATTTAAAATTATAGTTTAGTTCATTTAGCTTTTAAACTTCACAATTTCAGAATTAGACTAAATTAGACTAAATTAAATTTCTAATATCTCTATTATTTAGAATGAAAATATTAATAATAATAGTATAAAATAATATAAATATAATTAAGATAAAATAAATACATCAGGTAATATCAGAGGGTGCAGTTTTGCACAGATCTTTGGATCTGAAGTTTTTTAAAGATCTTTGAATCTGGCAGTGATCTGTGAAGAAAAAAATAAAAATTCTGCGCAGATTTGCAATAATACACAGGTCTGCACAGAATTTTTATTTTTTTAAAAAATTCTGTGTAGAACTTTGTAATGGTATTTATAACAGTACTTTATAATAGCATTTATAATAATACTTTGTAATAGCATTATTTAATTTCATAGAACAGTAAAATTTAGCATTTAAAAAGTAGTAAATATAGTTTATTGTAAACATTGATAATAAAAATGATAAAAAACTACATAAATATCTATATATATATACAGTCTAAATCAGTGATTTTTTTTAAAAAGATAATTCTTTATTAGATTTTAAAGAAAAAATTGCAAAGAATATTATATTGTCATAATCATTATCTTTACCACCATTATCATCTTCGACTGTAATCACCTCATTTCCTCCTTCATCTCCAATAACTTCTTTGCATAACTTTTGATACTTTTTTTGAATCACTTCCTTCTCTTTTTCGATCTCTTTTTTTGCTATATTCTCCATCATTGCCTAAATTGCTGACTTATTTCTTTCAATTGATCTCTGAATAACAAATATCTGTGAAGAATTTTCATTCAAATTTCAAATAAAGTTATAAGAATTATTTATTATAAATGCATATACATGTTTAGTTACTGATTTATCTTTGCATTTTATGTCAGATCTGGCTGAATTCAGGAGAATATCGCTGATTACTAATATGAACACACAATGAATAACTGGTAGTATTTTTCTTTTATACTGTTTAAAGACCATATAACCAATTTTTGATAGTATTTAATCATTTTTGAAGAGTTCATTATATGCATTTCACATCTTATCATTTTGTTTCCATTCTGCTAGACGAACAGAGATAGTATTATTATCGATTCTTGCTAATTTTTCTTTGCCAAAAATTGAAAATATCGTATTTCGAATAGCAGCAGCATAATTATTACATTTACTACAGTATTTTGCCTTTATCTAAACAAAAAAAAGTTAAAAGCTGCAAAAATAAAATTTATAATTACAATTAACCTGATGGAGAATTTTTTCTATGAACAATGACATCTATGTATTTTGATCAATGATATTAATAAAGTTTTCAGCATAGTCAGCCAAGTATTTCTCAATTAACTGATGATATTCTTTGGATGTTGGGTACAAGATGATGGGAATTAATTCTTTGGCTGTCTCCTTGTAAGCTTGCTGTAAAAAATAATAAAAATTAAAACTTTGCAAATTAATTTTTAGCTTTGAACGTAACCAAAGATAAATATCTTTCAAAAATCATCAGACAATTCATCAGCTGTAATTAGCTTTTTGATATTCTTTGTCTGTTTCTGATACTGATTGCTGATATAGCAATAGAGATAGTATATAGAGTTGAGTTTTCTGTTGAGGATATTTATTATAAA